TCATTTCACAGTTATCAGAAATTCTTGTAATTCTGATGCCAATTTTTCTGATAGTGCACCAATGATCAGAAAATCCCAAATGTTATCAGAAAAATGGGTAAATGATCAGAAAATCCTGATCCCATTTACACCTGTGAGGGAAGAGCATAGGAATATTCCGAATCACGATTAGGTTCAAACTCAGTCAAACCTGAAGTTTCTTCCACCCGGGCAATGTAAGAGCCATCAAAACCTGCCCATCACAAGTCAAAGACCGACATGAAATTTTATATCTTGGTTATGAATTTTCAGAACCACACTAAATTTGTAGTTTCACGTTTTGACTTTTCATCAAATCTCTTGACGTTTCATTGCAGACTTGATTTTTCAAGGAGATATTATAACGTTTCATGAAATGTGTTCTGACATTTCATTATATTTATGAAATTTTATGGCCGCTATGAAATTTAATGGCGTTCATGAATTTTCAATGCATATTTGTAATGAAAATTCATAACATTTTTAACAGTGTGGCCAGATCACAGTGAACACTGTAACCGAGATCACAGTAAACGCCGTGAACTAGTCCACAGCAAACGCCGTGAATTGCATAACAGCAAACATTGGGAATAAATTAACGGCGATGACAGGACATTTTTGTAGAGTGTCACACGTTCAGTTCGAGACCCATTTAGAGACTCTGGAGCTCAAATCAAGTCTTGAGCTTTCACCACCGGCGCTGGTCTTCTGTCCCAGGTGCAAGATGGGGTCAATTTCCCTTTAGGATAGGCGCCTGCGAGTGCCGACTTTTCCAGCCATACCAAAAGTTGTCCAATGACAATGGATGTGTTCAAAAGCTTATTAATTTTGATTAAAAATATATTATATTTTCATGAAATTTCCTGCCCCAAAGGGCGAACCACTCAGATTTGGTGAACGGTGTGAGTATGCCGAGGGGGCAAAAACTCGGGATTTTCGTGTACACATGATTCGGAAAACGCAATGATTGCGCATGGTTTTAATTGATTTCATGGCTGATTTTGCCTTATTTCGCGACGCACCAGGGTGATGTTGAGCGTGATTGCGTGTGATTGTGTTCGGAAAGAAATTATTTCGGACTGATTTGGCCTGGTTTCGTGTGATTCTGCCTAATTTCGGTCGATTTTAGTGATTTTGGCCGATTTCGGATTGCTTGATTTCGCGTGATTCTCAATGATTCGCGCGTGATTTCGGGGGCCATGTACACATGATTGCGCGAGTTTTTGCCCCCGGAGTATGCATAATTGTGTTAAATGAAGTGCACCTCTGACTTGTTTGCCACACATGCCTGTTTTACTCCCAATTTGTGATCAGAATGTGTGTGGTTCGCCCCTTTTCTTGCCCTCCTCACTTTCTTAAATCACCCTGCTGCTTGCTTCAGGGAATGATGTTTTCATACGACAGTTCAATGGAGTGCATACGACCACTGCAAAGAAAAGTGTGACTACTTAAACAAAAGTACTACAAAAACTGTACAATAGAAGTACGACAGGGATTTGTTTGACGAGAATGGTTCAAACCACAACGAGGCCTGGACCGCACAGCACTTCCATTGTACTTTGTACAACAATTGTTGTTCTTTGAAAGTATAATGAATGCCAAAATCTGGAATTGTGTCTTTTGTTAGTTTTTATCTCACAACCTTCACGTAGCTAACCGTCTGAATACATTTGTTAATACAGATGAGATTGTTGCAATAATAACAACTTCAGAAGTATGTCTTTGTCTGCAAACTGTTTGCTTAACAGAATTTTTACTTGTAACGTAACTGGTTTGGGAGTTAGTGTGGGGTATCTTTTGGGCAGTGCGACAGGAAACATACCTGAAAAAGGTACCAGGACCTGTTTTGGAATATCTTATTTATTTTAGTAACTGACTTGCATTACAAGAAAACAATAAAAATTCCATGTTTAGTTTGAGCTTGAAAATTTGGACCCTGTTGAACTTAACTGGTGAGCCGTTCACAAAAAAAAAACTTGTACATGGGTTAAAACAAATTTCATCTCACCACTCTTACTTTAAACATACCCCTCACTGACTCAATTTTCCAAATGCCAGCGATATCTCAATATTTTGAGTTGCTTCCTCTTACAAAGGGTGTTGGTTTGAGTTTATGATTATGTGCAAATGACTGATTTAGAAAAAAATTTGAGCAGAAAAATAATTTCAAGTCAGATTTTGGTTCTGGTGTTGCCGGTTCCCTTGAACTCTGCAGCAACCAATTAAACTGCGAAGGAAACGCTCGTGGAATGCCATGGACCACTTATTTGTGTAGGTCTTTGAATCCCGTACCATCAGTATCAACATCGGCGAGCATATATGACCAATGTCTCGGTGGCTGAGAGCGCAGAGAAAGTAGTTATCCCGAGGGAGCACTTAGGTTAGTCATCAGTAGCTGACCCTCCGCCTCCCGTGGGACGTGGTAGCACAGCGGTAAAGAGCGTGCACCACAAGTCAAAGATCCCGGGTTCGAAACCCGCTGATCAAAAGCAGATTCGGTTCAATAAATGGCATAAGGCCGCTTGGGTGTTCATATACATGAACACTTAGTTGTCCTTTTGCTTAACTGCTCTAAAATGACCTCGCAAACGCGAATATGAATTTTCATAACATGATATGAATTTTCATAACGTGATTGTAAAACAATTTACAATCATTTGTGATTTTAATTTTCATAACAATTGTTTGTGAAAAAAAATGCCAACCAATGTTATGAAAATTACAACTGATTTTTTTAACAGTGTTCGAATCCCCGGTGCTGGAACTTTTTTCTCAGTAGGCTGCTGAGGTACTTTGAGTCTAAGTTTAGACAACAACATATTAGTAGTGTTGCGGGAGACAAGACGATTTGGGGGAAGCGGCGTCGCGCGGCGCGCGGCATAACTGCTGACCCTAATAGAAAACCCTACCGCTACTGATCAGCCGCGGACCGCGGAAGCCGAACAGGGCGACAGCCGAGCCGAGTGACGGGCGGCCGGGCAGTCGCCTGGAGGAACGCTTAGAGTAAGGGTGTGTGTGTGTGGAGCCAGCAGGAACAGTGTCTTTGGAATATAGTCTTACGTCTTGAACCACAATCTGACTCGATTTATCGAATCCCGGAAAATACACAACCGAAACATCTTGGCGCACCGGCCGGGAACTCGAGGTTCAGATTCGTCTTGGTTTTTTTTTTCTCGTTTTTTTTTAAATTCATTTTTTTT